GTATAGTAATATGTTGCAACAACCTTAAAAACCCATTTTATAGCCATTTGTTTGATCCAAATTTTGAAATATACACTCTTTCATTCTAATGAACAATCACACAAAAAAAACAAACTTTGCAAACACAACCTAGAAAATATTTTTTTAGCTAAATTAACATAGGCCATTCATTTTGGTGAGATGCTTAGATCTGGCCTTTAGAAAGATTTTTTTATTTTTAATTTTTTGGATGGCTTTATTATCATTAGATCAACAGTGTTAAAAAAGAAAAAAAAAATGATTTTGAGTTTATAAAGGCTAAGCTGTTGAAATTCACAAAATGAATGGTCTGGATTGATTTTTTAAAGAGATTCATTTTGACTATATCTAGGGTTCAAATTGATTTGTTTTTTTTTTTTTGGGATTGATTATTGAGATGAAGAGAGAGTGTGTGTAAAATTTGTTGTCATACAAATACTACAAACATGGTTTTTTAGAAATGTCATTGCATTATACTATGATACAACCGTTACATTAGATCATTGCTCTATATATATAAAAAAATTATGTAAATATCTATTTTAGTTTTTATTATTATCAAAATACCAAATACTTTCCATTATTATTGATATATTTGTTTTCTCAACTTCATAATAGTTTTTTTTAAAAAGACAAAACTACCTATTTTCCGTTTTTCAAAAACAGAAAATTTTTCTCTCTTCCGTCTCTCTAAACGCCAATGTGTGAAAATCTCTCTCATAAAAAAAACCCTATGTTCTTCCCTCCTCATAACAATTTATTTTAAAAAACTATCATATTTTTTGTAAAACCGAAAACTCGTATTCTACAATCGAGTAAGCAGTTTGCCACCAAGGCTCTTCGTAATTCTGCTCCAACAACGGGAGGAGTGAAGAAGCTTCAAAGATATCGCCTCGCCCTAGAACTGTGGCTCTCCCGAGATATTAGCAAGTATCAGAAAAACACACACACAGTTGCCGATTAGGAGGTTGCCCTTCCAAAAGACTCGTTCGTGAAATTGCTTAGGACTTCAAGATGCGTTTCCAGAGCCATGTTGTGTTGGCCTTGCAAGAAGCAGTTGAGGCTTACTTGGTGGGTCTCTTTGAGGATACTAACCTCTGTGCCATTCATCATGCCTAAGGACATCCAGCTTGCAAGGAGGATCAGGGGCGAGAGGGCCTAGGAGTGATCCATGATTCATCTCTCTATATTTACTGGTGTTTTTGATTTCTTAGAGAAGACTTACTGGAGTTTTTGTTGGTTTCATTTGAAGGTCATTTATACTAATTAGGTAGGGGATTCATTTATTTTTGTGTGTGCATAGGAATGTATAATTCTACTCCTACCCTGTAGTCATTAGCATTAGTTCTGACTAAAAAAAAAAAAGAACGGACCCCCGCTCATTATTTCTTTCTCTTAAAAAAGATTGTGCTCTCTCGCTCTAAATCCACGCTCACTCTTTCTCTCTCTTAATCAGATTGCTCTCTCGTAAGGGCAAACAAATCGTTTTCTCTATTTGCAGCAGATCGCCCGTTCTCTCTCTAAAGCAGAAAAACTTCAAGTAAATTCGGTTATAAAGCTCAAAAACATATTTTTTTTTTAAATTTAGGGTTTTGAAAAACTGTAAAGGGTAAATAACTCCAAACTAGAGAGAGAGAGAAAGGAAGCTCTTACCAGAGAGGGAGGGAGGGAGAGAAGGAGCATGTTGAGAAGACCACAGCGCTCCTCTTACTTCTCTCGTATCAACCACCATCCCTCTCCACGAACTTGCGTCGTTCTCCCTCCTCACTCTCCACAAACCACTGATGCATTGGTGGTGGCGGAGGCGGAGCCTAACCTCTCCAAACCTTCCCCCGCCGCTTACCATGACCTCTTCAAGCTCGCCTCGAAGCACCCACAAGCCGAAGCCGCCATGGAAAAACTCTTGCTTCAATCCAGAGAACACAACTGTCCCCTTTCTCTCTCTTCAGCCACTCTCCTCATCAAGACCTTCACCTCCGGTCCGGGTTTTCTCGACAAAGCTCTTCAAGTCTTTGAAGAGGTAAAGCCACGAATCACTAAACCCCTTCTCTGCAACATCATTCTTCAGTCTCTGTTTCGAGCTGGTCGATTTGAGGATGCCATGAAAGTGGTTCGTGATTTGCCGCTATCATCTTCCTGTAAACCCAACTACTTCACTTTCACTATCGTCTTCTCTGCGCTTCTTAAGAGCAATAGATTAGTTGAAGCCATTGAATTCATTCTTGAGATGGGAAAGCAAAATGGGATTGTTCCAGAGTCTCTGCAACTTACTCAACTCATCACTCTCCTCTGGAAGAACAGGGACATCGACAAAGCTTGGGAGGTTTTTCACACTGTGAAGAAGATGGGTTCTGTATCTGTCCAATCCTGTAACGCTCTGTTGACTGGTTTGGGTCGAGATTTTGATTTCTTGAGGATGAACACTCTCATGACTGAGATGAAAGAGATGGGAATCGAACCCAATGTGGTGACCTATGGAATACTCATAAACCATCTCTGTAAATCTCATAGAGTTGATGGAGCATTGCAGGTATTGGAGAAGATGGCTTGTGCTCCTGATACCATTACCTTCAACACTGTAATAGATGGTCTTTGCAGAGTGGGGAGACAAGATGAAGGAATTGCTTTGATTGAAAGAATGAAAGGGATAGGTTGCTCGCCCAACACTGTAACTTACAATTGCTTGATTGATGGGTTATGCAAGGCTGGGGAGATTGGCATGGCTAAGCGCTTGTTTGATGACATGAGGAAGAATAAAGAAGGGCCAGCTCCAAATGTCGTCACTCTGAACACCATGATTGATGGTATGTGCAAGAATGGACGGATAAGTGGCGCTCTTGGGCTTTTGCGTGAAATGAACGATATGGGTCTACAAGGAAATGCCATCACTTATAATACACTGATTAGTAGCCTCTGTGGTGTGAATAATGTGAACAAAGCACTTGAATTGTTTGAAGAAATGGTGGAGAGGGGCTCATCTCCTGATTCGGTCACATACTTTACCCTGATAACAGGGTTGAGCCAAGCTGGGAGGATGAAGGAGGCCTGCAATTTTGTTTTTTTAATGGAAAGGGATGGGTTTTGTCTTGATTTGCAGAGCTATGGTGCTTTGATAAATGGGTTTTGTAGGAGAAAGAAATTCGACGAGGCCATTGCATTGTTTGAGCAAATGGAAAAGAGAGGGCTCAAACCAGATGGCATGACTTATACGATGCTCATTTCGGCAGCGAGCAAAGATAGGGATTTATCCGCTGCTCATGATTTGATGGCCAAGATGGTTGAGGAAGGTTTTAAGCCATCGGTCGTTACTTATGGTGCATTGATCCATGGGTATTGCAGAGCAGGCAAGCTTGAGGATGCCATGAAACTTTTTAGAGAGTTGCCCAGCTTGGGCATCCCACCAAATGATGTGATTTATAACATCTTAATAGATGGTCTATGTAAGGAAAGCAGAGTTGATGCGGCTATCTCTCTATTGGATGAGATGCCAAACAAAGGGCTGGTTCGAACCGTTCCTGCTTATAATGCAGTGTTCAAGGCGCTTCGAGATAAGAATCTCTTGGATAATGCATTTGAGTTGATGGATCAAATGAAAGAAGAGGGATGTAACCCTAATTATATCACTCTGGAGATCCTTGGCGAGTGGTTTTCTTCTGCTGGAGAGCTGCACAGACTGAGAAGTTTCATGCAAAAGGATATCTTCTTGATGGAAGACCTAGTATAATTTAGTGCATTGCAATAGGTACCTTTTAAAATTTTGTTTTGCTTATCTATGTGGAGACATTGTGGCATTTAACCTTTATGGCCATTCTAATATTTAGTGTTGATTATCTAGAATGAGCCATTAGGTCTTTGTTGCTCATACATATTGTAAATGTTGTGCCGGTGTAACATTATGAAATTTCAAGTAAGAAATTGTTTCTGATTAAATCATGATTTTTTTATTTATTTTATGAACACATTTTATTTTGGTTCCATTGGGCATCAATGGTCTTTCCACCCTGTGGTTTATAGCTCTATGTATCCTACTTTTTCTCAGTCTTTATCTTTGGATTAATTGCCAAAAAGCATTGAAATTGATAGTCCACTTTCACACTTACAAATGAGAGTGTTATAATTGTGCTTTAGCATCTTAGGTGTGAACTTAAAGTTCTTGCTGGTTAGATGTTTAATGGGTTGTCCATGTGCAGGATAATCTGTGATAACCTAGGGGAGCTTTAAAGTAATCTGTTACAGTAGATATTGAAGACCATGGCTTCTGGCATGCAGGTTCAATGTACTGTGAGAACTGGTAGTGTTCTTCCACCTGGTATCATCAATAAAGAATAGCTTGACCTTCTTAATGTTTGTCTTATTGATGCGAGCCATATGAATGACAACTTGAATTTTTTTTTTTTGTAATTGATTTGTTGTGTGCAATGAATTAAATGGAAAGAAATTAAATAAGTGGCTCACATGGCATTAAATCTCTCACAATATTTCATGATTAAGAACCTCATGGATAGTACAAAGGGGCATTGTCGTCAGGATCTCCCAACCTAGGTGGTGATCCCGCTCCATAATCTTGATCTAACACTCTAGGAAAGGGATCTTCAAAGAGATCTCGTTTTCTAAATTTTTGGATCTCAATCACCACTATGGGAATCTCGATGTCCAGCCTAAGACCAACATAACAATTAAATTGATGATTTTCTTTGTTAATAGCCAGCTTGCAATGCAACTATATTTGCAATATAGTTGTTGTTGCTTGCAAGCTATAAATAAAGATCCCGAGTACATATAGTCTTAGATTATATCAGTGTTTCAATATGCGGGATGCAGTCCCGATGCAATCGAGGGGCCAACGTGGCGATGTGGCTCGATGCAGTCCAGATGTGGTGCATCACCTTAATGTGGTCAATAAAGATAAAAAAATTTCAAAAATTCTCAAAAAATAGGCTAATGCATGAAAGAATTTCGAGGTGATTTATATGATAGTAGATATTTAATTTATTCATTAACTTCAATATTATCAGCTGTTAGAGACTTTGAATCCCCTGATAGAAGATATTAGAAAGTAGAAACTAGAAACTTGACACTAACTTTATAGAAGACCTTAGAAGAGATCATGTTTTCATAATTCATAGACATCCAAAAACCATAATCGCAATTGCAAACTTTAAAATTACGAACTCCAAAGCAAAGGTACATACAAACACTAAAAGTCTATGAAGAGTTCAAGAGTCAAAACAAAACATTGAAGACAATAGAAATCAAAAGAATAATCTACTCAGCTCTCAAGTCTCATTCTCAAATCCTAATCAGACAAGTCATCTAGGGAGTCGATTGTGTATGTGCATCTCTAGCATCCCAATTGACAACCCAACCAACAATGAAAGCAATCCGGTGACTTTGTGCAAAAAAAATTGCCACCCAAAATATTTTCTCTTTTGTTTTTTTTTAATCAAAGAACAGTCATGAATGGGGCTATGGAAGCGCCCATGAGTGTGGGCAGGCTAGGAAACACTCGCATATGCGGGCGCATCCCACCAAAGCACCTATGCGCCCCTAGGTGATGTGCCTAGGGGCGCATAGCGCATTATGCTGCTGCATATGCGGCGATGTGGCTGCATTTTAAAGCAATGTATTATATAGAGTAAGATTTGCAGGGATCAAGATCACCAAAAGGTTGAGATCGAGCTCTCTAGTATTTGGGGATCTCAATCCCTAACATATGCAGTGTACAGACCATGCTCCAAACCACACAGATTTTCTAGTCTTTCCTCTACTTCTGATCCCAACAAGTCAACAGCTCTGCACGGTGCATCCCTTTTAGATTTGAAGAATTCTAGCTGAAGCATGTTCCCTTTTGAGGATTTATTTGATGAGTCTCAGCTAAGACCTCATGAAGGATGGCTCGTTTTCAATCTTAAATTGAATTTGAAGAGAACTTAACTGGCTCTAAGAACTTCAAGTAAGGAAGATACATTTTCGTGCATCCAGTTAGAGTGTGGAAAAACCGGATATAACATGAAAGAAGCAGGAAAAATTCCTGGCTCAAGATGTTTAAGCCTTTAAGGGATCAGCTGTGGATGATCCTAGAGCAAGCGAAATACTCCATGCATTACTTAAGCAAAAACTACTAACTTTATCTTTAGGGCTTGTTTGGTTCACGTGAAAACTTGCCTCACGAAACAGGTTGCATAGGAAACATCCACTTACACACGTTTGGTTCGTGTGTAAAGTTGATAAAAACATTTTCATTGGGAAATGGTTTTACCATCAAAAGGAGGAAATCAGGTGAAATGTAATCCCCACCCCACAAGGTGGGGAGTAACTCACCGGGGACCCATTTCTCACACGTGAACCCCAAAAGATATTCTAATAGCGTTTACTGCAGGAGAAGAAATGACGGACGCAAAAAGAAAAACAAACTGCGTTCACCCTGCTCTCCCACTCGTCCCTCTCAAAACCCTAATCGTCAAACCATTGCTCCTTCTTCTCTGCGCTAAACCCTAGCCCCTTCCTTACAAGCCCTAGCCCCTCTTTCACAACCCTCTAACAAAGCCCTGCCCCTCTATCAAAGCCTCCCTGGACGGTCTCTCTCAACCCTCTGCAACTTCTTTCACATACCCTCAAGCGAGGATGCTGGTGTTCTATTATTCTTTGACAATGATGTGTGTTTTTGTTTTGGGCATATTAACCATTATATTTTTTAATTTCCTCAATATTGGTTTCTCAGCTTATGAATTTGAGTTGGGCTCGAACTTATCTATCTTACATAGATGTGACTACAAGTTGGTTTTTCCAAAATCCATGCAACCATTAGAAGAAACTAATTTGGTCAGTGAAGGATTTGGAAATTAGGGAGGTTTGAGAATCAATATGTGTTTTTTTTTTACTGCAATTTCTACCATTAAATTGATAGTCTAGAAATGTATTGGCAATCCAAAGGTAGTGACAGGAGACAGCTAAGGTTACACGTATTTTAATGGAAAATATTCATTTTAATATTTTCGATGTATTATATTATTTTAATATTTTTCTTCTTGAGTCTGGGTATACTTGGTTCTTGATATAGGTTCCAAGTATTTTAATGGAAATTATTTATTTTAATATTTTTTATGTTTTTATTGAGTCTGCGCAGTTTTGGGTTACTGATATGTATTCAATGAGATAGAAGGTTTTTGGGAGCTGATATTTCTTTATTTTATTTACTTTTTAATTGTGATTTTGGGGCTTAAATTATTGTGGGGCTTTGGATAGGCTGGAAACAACACGGATTGATCTTCTTGAAACTAAAATTATGGGGTCTAGTTTCAGTAATTCACAAATAAAACATAGCCATGGAGGCTGTTAATTTTTTAATCCTTTTGTGGCCCCTGTTTTTGAGGAATGATATATTTTTGTCTAAATTAGTTCAAAGTTTTGATCTTTTCCTGACTTGGGCTTTAAGCGTGGCCCATATATCCTTGGGAGTCTCAAGGATCTTGCTGTTTTGTCTCTTAAAATATCATAAAAAATGTTCCCCCATAGTGAGAAAGAGTAGGTTAGCTTGTTTTGGGTTAGTTGACAAACTTCTAAGATTTGTACCCCTGAACTTCCTAATACAAACTGAGATGTCTTACCATTTAGACCAGACAGGTGTGATGGAAGCACGTTTGTAGGAAAGGCTACTGTCATGGAACTCTCGAGTCCCCAGACAGGAAATAACTGTGATTGTTCACTAATTGGGAAAGTGAATTTGTAACTGAATCTGCTACAAAGTGGTATGAAAAGTGTTTCCAAAGAGGTATGAGAAGTGTTCCCAAAGATATATGCCTATTTCACTCCATATGTGTTTCTCTTTTTCATTTTATGCAATTGCAAGTGGTGTGTCCGGTTTCATCATGTATGTACATACAGTATCTGTTCATCTTCTTGTTATCTTTCTATGTACAAGGTTGGTAATGATATCTGATGATTGTGATCTATGGTTGTAGTTTGAGATTGGTTGTTGTGCAACGAATCTTATTTATTGATTGCTTTTGGGTTTGGCAGTGCGGGACCTAGGTTTTCTTTTTTAGTTCTCCCTGTGTCATTCTGTTTCCCATGATCTTTATTAGAAGATAGTGGCATGAAATCCTTCTAAAGAGATATCTATTTCTTGTATAGATGTGCTACATTTTAACCCTTTCATTTGATGTTAAAAAAAAAAAAGGTTCCGGTTGGTCTTTTTGGGGACAAACTTCAAGGATTGAATCCTTTACCTCCCACCTCCATATGTCAACCAATATGCTAAAGACAAAGGGGCATGGGATGCTTCATTATGCTCTCAATATGCAAATGCAGATAACGTTTTCACTTGATTGAATAAAAAGAATGAGAACTTGGCTCTTGTATCACTTTTTTTTTTATGACTCTCTCTTGCATTACTTTTATGTGTGATGTTTTCAAAATGGCTATGTATATTCATGACTCTCTCTTGCATTACTTCATTATGCTCTCTATATGCATATTCATCAACTTTTATGACTCTCTCTTGCATTACTTCATTATTCTCTCTATATGCATATTCATCAACTTTGTGTTTTGATGCTTTTCTAGTAAGCAGAATATGTACATTGTTTTCTTTTAGATAGATGGGGTTGCAGCTCACACCTTGACTTCCTAGCCTTAGTATCCGAAAAAAAAAGAGGAACTTGGGCTATCTTTGGTTGTCTTTGGTGCGGTAAACAGCCACGCAATGTGCTGTTTCTGTGGTATATGAAAGCATTGAGCCTGGCTACATATGGAATTTATCAATTTTTTGTCTCATTAATGATTTGAAGTAATATCTCCCTTATTCAACTAATCCACCATGGCTACAAGCTTAAAGAAGTGAAATGAATGCAGTTTCATTGGGATTTAATTCTTGTTGTGTGTTGGATGATTGTTTTCTTGCTGTGTACATGATGCTTATCTATTTTTCTTCTTTGAATAGTTTCAGAAAAACAGTGGTATATAACTGTTAAAAGTGTATATAACCGTTAAAAGTGTATATAACTAGCATATATAACAGTGGTATACAACTCATAAAAGTGTATAACCAGCATATAACAGTAACTTAACATGCTGTCAAGTTTGTACTTGTTCATGTGCTTGAGAGTTGAGTTTGATTGTTGCTTCATTTTCTGTTGATATAGGACTCTTTGGACATTGCTTGATAGAGTCTCAAACTGTTTTTAGAGTCTTGTGTGTTCACTCAAGTGTTTGTGTTTACTTGTCAGACTTCAAAGTGGCAGTCTCATGTTCCAATGTTCAATTACATAAAATGGAACATTTATAGAATGAAACCATCATACGCTGCTATTTCAAGTAGAAAATTTACCATAAGGCTTGGCATTTTGATATTGATATACAAAAAAGAAAATCAAGAATAGTGGACATTTTTTTAGAACTTAAAGCCATATGTACAGAATTATATGGGCTTTGGGTGCTGTAGACCTTCTAATCATATTGAAGCAAATAAAATTCAATTCCATTGTTCTCTTGCCCCAGAATAGTGGACATTTTTTTTCCATTGGCTCTTAGTTTGGTGTTTTCTTAACAGTAATATACCTTTTTTGGTTGTTGAAACCTGTTGTACTTCTGTTTGACATTCTTCCTTCAATCTGAGCCACCATGTATGAATGACATGAACTTCGATGCTTCCTATTCGTGCTGGTCTTCCCATTATTTATGTGAATTATATCCATTTCAATTACAAAGCATGGATCGCATACAAGAAACTGATTAGATATGTAGTATTCAAATATAACTTTGAAACTGCAGCTCCTTTATAAATGGATTTTGATATGAAACTTGGAAAGCAATTTGAGTGTTCTAGATGGTGTTAATGTGCCTAGCTCTACCCGTTTCCCTTTAGGTATGGGATCTCAGCAGCCTAAAGACCCCGCGCCCAACAAGAAAGCTAAGAAATATTATTGGAACCTAAAGATGATGACTTCTTTATGGATCTCATGGTAGACGAGGTCAATGGAAAACAAAAATTCAAGGAAATTTCACCCCTGATGCTTGGAGAAGAATGGTAAAAGCCATGCAAGATAAGTTTGGGGATGACTTTGATAGCTCATCTGGCTTTGGTTATCTATCAAAGTCATCCCCAAACTTATCTGGCTTTGGTTATCTATCAAAGTCATCCTCAAAACCCTCCTCCATAGCTCATCTGGCTTTGGATGGAATGACGCCAAAAAGCTGGTCACAGCAGAGGACGCTGTTTGAACCCAATGGCAAGCGGTGAGTCTACAACACTAATCTTCTAGGCAAGTCAATTATATTTATTTAGGTGCATGCCATATTCTTACTGCTAAATTTGCAGCAACACAAATGGGTATCCACGTTTAGGAAAACTCCTGTGCACAGATATAAGGACATGGACCTTTGTTTTGGAGATTCGACTGCCCAATGGAAATAGCAGTCACACTGGATATGATTCTCCTCCTAAGGAGAACACCATACAAGTAGAGGGTAATGTTCCAAATGAAGAGACTGATGGCTTGTCCGAGAGGTTCTTGGGTCCCACTTCCCACCCACCCAGTAGGGGTGGAGGAAGTGGTTGCATCATCCAGTTCGGGTGACAGTGCGGGGACTCCGGCATCCAGTAAGAAGCGCAAAGGCATTGCTAGTTCATGAGCTCGTAAAGGGAAGCGGTCTAGTGCATCCAATAATGCATACGAGCCACTTAATATGGTGGTCGAGGCAATCCGCCAAATGAGCGCCACTAGCCCTAGCTTTGCTTCTGCCCCTGCCTCTACTTCTATTCCTATCCCTAGTGTAGAGGGTGAATGTATGAAAGCCTTGGCTGATGCATATGGTGAAGATTTCAGTCCTGAAGTAGCTTACAAGGCTGCAGATATCTTCTTGCAACCTGGGAGAGCAAACATGTTTTTAGCTATGCCGTTAGAGTATCGCAGGGGCTGGATAGAAAGAGAATTTAGGAAAACATGATTTTTGTCTTTTTTGTGGGGATCTTCATATGTACTGCTACTTTGATACAGTTTTTTATGTTTTATGGAGATTTTGTTATAATGGCTTGTTTGCAATTAAACAATGATTACATATGATGGAGTACTTTAATGATGTGCTTTTGTTTTATGGGGATTTTCCTTTAATGACCTATTTGCAATTAATTGGGACACTCTACTTTGATTGTTTTATGGAGTACTTTAATGATGGCAATTATTTCCACATTTTAGGGTTTGCATTTCTATGTCCAAATTAACTGAACTCTCTCTCTCGCTCTATGGTTTAACGGTGGCATTTATGAAGTTAATTTGTGTATGAGGTTTACATATTTTTAAAGGAGGTACCTGTTAATTCAGCAGCCCAAAAGCGCACATTATCTGTTCACAAGAAAATTATCTGTTCACAAGAAACTGCAACTTTTCCTAGTTTTCCTATGGCTGGTCTTCTCTCCACTGATAAAAGAAGAAGTAATGGCTGGGAATTACGTGATAGTACTTGCCTTTCAACATGCCCCACCTCTACCTTTCTTCTCTCTCTTTTCTCTGGTCTTTTTTGTCTTTCCTGGTTTTACCATTGAAATTTTACAAAGGGAAAGCTTGTCCACTTATGCTTGCTCTCTTTTGTGACTTTCTCTCTGTTTTTTCTTTGTTGGGTATCTGAATTTTGGCTTCATATGCTATCCTTTTGGGGTATAAGAGTTTAGAGACAGACGAATTCTCAGAGCCTCCAATTTAGGATAACATATAGAATGAATATGTTGCAGAGATAGTGGACTTAATGGGGTCGGGCATGCCCAGACTCCATGTGCTTGGCTCAACTCTTTGTATGCAGGTATATTCATCTCCTTTAGCATTGGTTTTTCCTTGTTTTCGTTTCAGGTTGTTAGATAGCTTCTGGTCTTTGATAATAAGTGGGTTTATGGCTTCTAAGCATGAGTGCTTTTGAGTGCTTTTTTAGTGGGTTCAGGGTTTGTTTCTTTGTTGGGTTTTGTATGTATGTCTTAGAGTTGGTTTCCTCTGATTTAATGCATGATTTATGTTTCCTAAATATGACTTGAACTTGGGTGCCTCTGTTTTAATGTTTTGGGTTAGTGGGTTTATTGATTGGACTAGTTGCCTTTTTATTCTGGTTGCATGTATTGGGACAATGGGTTTTAGGTGTATTCATGGTCTTTCTATATGATTTTGGGTAATTTTTTTCTTCATTAATGGGTATTTTTTTTCTCTATTAAGATACTTGAGCAAGTGGCTTTATTTTTGTTATGAAATAAGTATCGAATTAAGCAAAGAATTTCTAGGAAGTGAGTATAATTGTTGTTCCGATTTTTTTACATAACCAATATGCCGTTGAATTTAGGAGTTAAACAAGATATTATGTTTTTTATTTTTATTTTGACAGAGTGCATTGTATATATTGACATGTGAGGATCTCTTTTGTAATTAATCGTGCAGGAAACTATATTGTCATGGAACGAAAAAAATTGCTCATAATTGTTGTCTTAGCTCTTTGTACATGGATAATTTGTCATGTACTAGAATTGATTAATAAGCGACCCATTCGAGTTCACACTTTTATCGCTGACTGGGTCTGCCTTTGTTGAGTACCTAATGACTGAACATGGAAGAAGCTGCTTTGATTTACTACATATGGATGTCAATACCTTTTGCAGATTGTGTGATATTTTCAGACAGAGGTCCCTTCTTTATGATAATCGGAATATTATGGTAGAAGAACAAGTTGCAATTTTCTTGAACACTAACACAAAGTCACGCCAACAGGGTGTTGCAAATTCGCTATCAACATTCTGGAGAGACAATTAGTAGACATTTCAATAATGTGTTGAATGTAGTACTACGCTTAGGAAGGGAGTATCTGTTACCCCCGAGTGGTGCCACTCGTTCTTCAATCTCAGGACACACTAGATTTGCTAAATTTTTTCAAGGTACCAAATTGTCATCAAACTTAATGTTATTTCTATAATGTATTTTTACCTCATCTGATATGCCTTTGCATAACATTGATAGGATTGTGTTGGAGCGCTTGATGGGACACATGTCACAGCTCATGTTAAATCACAATGTCATCCTCAATTCCGCAATAGGAAGGGTCAGATATCTCAGAATGTACTAGCTGCGGTTTCATTTGAAATGACTTTTCAATATGTGCTTGCTGGATGGGAGGGATCTGCTTCAGACTCTAGAGTTTTATACTCTGCATTAGAGAGGGCTACTAATCCATTAAGAGTACCTCCAGGTAATAGTGAATATGATTTCATGCATAGTAACATTATGAATTTTATTAAAATGCACTCATTGATGTAACTATCATATTTGTTCCAGGTAAATTCTACCTCCTAGATGCAGGCTACCCCAATCATATGCGTGGGTTCATAACACCATACCGAGCAACTCGTTACCATCTTTAGGACTATCGAGGTGGTAATAATCCCAGGACAAGACAAGAACTATTGAATTATCAACACTCATCACTGCCAAATGTTGTTGAGCGTACATTTGGCTTGTGGAGGGCACGCTTCCCAATCTTATAGAAGCAATTTCGCTACCCATTTGAAAGTCAAGTTGGTATTGTCATTGCAACTTGCATATTACACAGCTATATCAGGATGACAAGGGTTGTCCTCACTGATGAGGAGTCAAGGTTTGAAAATGTATTGGAACATGCTGATCAAATGGTGCGACCACCCATAACTCATGATGAGGATGAGGATGACATTGCTACAGAGTTACGTGAAGAAATTTCCAATGCAATGTGGGAGCGATATCGATATAGGGTTTAGGATGCAATAGTTGTGAGGGTATTACATTTTTTCCTTTTTTATTGTACTCGTACTAATGTTATCATTTCAAGATTGGATATGGACATCATGTGTTGAAGATGTATTCATGGATTGGAATGGAAAAAGTATTGTTAAATTTTGTACTGCAAATATTTTTCCATTAATCTTACAAGATAGCTATTGAAAAAAAAATAAAAATAAAAAAAAAAAATGCACGGACTACTTAATCAAGGCTGGATGCTTGTATAATTTAATAAAGTGAACCAAACTTACAATCTAAACCATCTATTTTTTAAAATATATTACAAATTAAATGTTCTAGAAAAATCATCTTAATGGGATGGATGTTGGTATCAAATTGACATATTTGCAATTGAACGGTTAAAAATTGGTCTTAATCTAAATTCTAGGAAGTAGTTTACTCATGGGTAACCAAACATAAGAAATTGGTTTTGCATGAATTTCAGAAACTGGTTACCCATGTGAACCAAACATGAAAAAAAACAGATTGGAAACCCTATTGCACAAAAACTGTTTGCATGTGAAAACCGTTTTCCATGTGCAAACTGTTGCACGGGAACCAAATGAGCCCTTAGTCTAGTCAACTAGCTTTGCTTCTCTTATCCCCAAAATTAGGAACTCAACAACTTCTTATCTTTCACTTTATAATCACGTGCAGCTTGTTCCATGAACTATCATCCGAAATTTTCATTCATTGAGTTGTGCTTGATTTGTCTGACCTGAACTTACAGGAGAATTCTAGGATAGGTAACCACAGATAATATCACTCTGACCAATGAACCCATTGGGAAATTAGATTGCTTCACGTTTGAAGGGAAGCTAGCACTCAAATTGAACAAGTCCCTTGAGTCATTGTTCTGTTAGCAGTCTTGTCTGGGCGAATACGGGGAGCCCAGCATTCTCCTGGAACTCATTGAGTCAACCAGATAGTCGCCCAAGTCGACGGCTGCCTAGTGAATCTTGTGGTTTATCATGAGACTTGCCAGAAATACCTGTATTGCTATTTGAGACTTTTCTGAGCTGCCTTGATATGATTTGTATTGGGAATGACCTGATCGATATCCATTGGGATTAGTCTCAGAGCACATAATTGATGGCATTTTATTGAGTTCACCCATGTTATTAGGTTCGTTATGAGGTGGCCTCTTCGGTTTGGCTTGCAAGGGAAGTGCATTGGCCCATTCCAGGAAGACTTTGTTTTTTTTTTTTTAATATTAAGAGAAATAGCTGATGAGCCTCACAAACTTTGTGAAATTTGATACATTATCTGATGAATATATTAAATATAATATTAAAGATTGTTTGAGGGCAATAAACTGGAGGTTTTAATAATGCAAAAGGTCAGCGATTCCATAAACGTGTGCTCGAAGGGTAACAGAAATGACTAGGTTCCTCCAAAAGTATGGCGCGTGCTCCCACAGGAGCATACTGTAAAAGACCTATTTAGGAGTGTTTCTTGATTTAAAATTTTTGGATCCACTATAGAGTCACCAAATGGATATTTTCAAAAATCTTGATTTTGAGTTTCTATACAATCAGATTTGACCATCCAAAATTGGGAAGGTCTTTGTGCAATCTTAAGAGGCTATTATTTTCTGGCACATGTAAAATGAGTATGAGAAAATCTTTTTGAGTTGGTTTCTTCTATGCCCCTGAAATCCAAAAGTATTCATAGACTGTGTTTCACCTGTGGGAACATATATTTCCAGGTGTGCACTACATTACAACCTCTTAACAAGTAGCATATACCAAGGGCTAAAAACCTGAAGACATGGCCCTCTTCTGCCAAAGCAAAGTCAACTTCACCACATTGCAAATAACCCATAATGGAATCTATATGGATGATATGCAGTAGAACAGTTTACATAACAGTTTTGTAAAAAAGGATATGGAAAATTTTCATTCCAACTTGAATTTCTATCTTTTATGGGGGCTCCATGCATTGTGAATATTTACACAAAATGAAAACATGTCAACTACTTCCAATGTTTGATGAACGATGTTGATTTTCCATCAAGCATGGTGCGGAGATGTCTTTGTATGGTGCAGATATTACACACTACATGTATCCTCATTTTTCAATCAGGAAGTTACCTTTGGAAGTGAAAAACTATAAAGAAAGTTCAGAAAACATAAACTGCTTTTGTATGGTACATGGTGCCTGAGGGGCATCTGCTATTTGTTCCCAGTAAGAGATGGTTTATGTTAAGCATGCCTAGGTGAATTAACATTGCACTGATGGTCAATTTTCAACATTCATTGTCCAGAAATGGATGGTGGATTCCCCCATGGTTACCATGCACCAAACTTGTATGGGCGATACTTTCCCTATTAGTAAATTGAGAATCCATGCGATATTTGAGGTGGACTGAATTTACCTGAAAAATTATGAACTGCTGTAAAATCTTGTTGATTACAAGTTCTGGCTTTTGGGTTTGTGGCCCTGGTGCATCCTTGATCTTTGTTCTTGATTGATAAAAAAAGTGGTGTTTTAGGAGGATCTTATTACTTCATCATCTAATTAGAGTTGGCTGCCATTCTACTCTATTAAGAGTCATACCTCAGTGAGGCCATAAATCCTCATATCTTTTCTCACTACTTCCAACCTAATGTCACTATTTGGTATGAAAATGCACACCGTACACATCTATAGTTGATCCTCAAGAACCATATTGAGAACAAACTATGATACCCCAGTTGATCTCCTCGAACCATAATGAGAACAAACTGTGGATGCCCTGCTATTGTATGGAATAGATACAAGTGTCTGCATTTTCTCATTCGAAGCCCAAACTTATAGAGCCACAGTTTACATGAATATTACTTCTTCTTTTTTTCCTTCAGACCTTCGGAGTAATCGCTATACACCACGGGTGTATGGTAATGGTACGACAAACGGGTACATACCACCCTTCCAGGATGTTATATGTTGGAGGTTAATCTCCATAGTCCAGGATGTTATATGTTGGCGGTTAATCTCATAGTCCATGATCCAGGGAATGGAAGGATGATACCCCACAGAGTTCAACAAACCAAAGTTATGGTGTATACTGAGGCCTTGTTTGTGTACCACATACATGTGAAAAAATGTGAAGAGTTGATACAACAATTCAAATATCCAGACTTAATTTTTAGTAGCTTTCGAATAGAAGGATTATTTATGAGGCAGCTTGTTCTTTAGGATTTTTTAACGCATGTGATATTTTTGTTCCCATTCATTCACATCCTCTCGACCAAAAGAAAGGCTATGTAAGATGAGATGAAATGACTTTCAATCCAAGAAGCTAGTAAATTTAGTAAGGTTACACATTAAGGTCCACTTAGTGAGCTAACTGATGAAAACATATACCGTTATTTTCATTAATTTACAATGAATAAAATGAATCCAGTACATAGTCTCTTTTGTTTTAGATTATGAATGAAGTCATAGCATAGGATTAGTATACATCAAGTTGCATCAAGAAATTCAAAGAAGATGGATGTATTCTTAGGAGGAAATACGAGTCAACAGAATTTGCCATCTATCACATCTCAATTTAGATTGTGCTTGAGAGAGCACCCCCATCACAATCTATCAGCTTCAGTATTAGTTTCTCTAAGCAAGTGCTGGAATTATATATTGAAATGGCTATGAAGATCCAGGATCCCTTCCATGACATTTGTGTCATAGTTATTGAACATCTAGTGTTGATCCACAGTCTTCTAATGCTCGAGGAAATGTTAGAAACCTGTAAATAAAATGGGTAAATTTCTCATGCAGATATCTGCCTTTTAAACTCTTTCTTAAGCATCAAACATGTATCAGAATATGAATAAGCACCGATATATAATACTAAACCAATAAATTTATTCTTATTCTAGAGCAGCCAGCTGTAATTACAGTCCATCTTAATTCCTTCTTAAAAGCAGTCCAGCAGGTTGTCGATTAAGATTAACTATTAGCCAGTCACAAACTGTAGCTTAGTTCTGTAGACCCTAGTTTGCAGGTGGAGTTTCCCTGACTTGACCGAACAACCCCAAATTTAGTTATTTCAACTACACCGAATCATTTCCCAGTTGAGTGAAAATTACTTTCATTCCAAATATATTAATGACAATTAAAAGAATATGTAGTATTTAAGTACATACTCATGAAGTAGAAGATATTACTATAAAATATCTTTTATGATCCCACATGGGACAATCATTAATCAAACTGTTCAACAAAAACATCTATTTGGAGCTATAAATTCCTTCCATGTGTTTTGCACAAGACATCCATTGTAATACAACTAAAACATGTTTTGGTGATCATGAATTATTCTATAAAAATTTCAAAAATGTATATATTCTCTGATTTAGCCCAAATGAATACATGCAATTTGAAATCCTCAGTTGTACATTGGCTTATAGCTCATAGGGCTAAGAGTAGTATCAAGCTTGTACTAATTACTTAAAAGAGTTGCCAGCATAGGGAAGTATCATGCTTCTACTAATTACTTAAAAGACTTACCAGCATAGGGATCAACGAGAGGAAAGTCGAATGGCTGTAGAATTTCCATCTTTTGAGTATCTCGAGTTTCCCTCCTGTATTGTTGCTGTTACAATACAAGTGCACTTTAGATATCCTTCTATCAAATGTATATTGATAAAGATAAATCATTCCATTGTGCAACCTAGACTGTTTTTGCAATGTGAAAGATACAGTTACATGCCATAGATTGATAAATAGCAAGAAATAGTTGAATCAAGACCTTGATTCTGAGCAGATCTGCAGTCAACATTAGACTGCTAATATTGTAGCTCTTGTCTCCCCAAGATGCAAAACAACTTAGTCGCAATGGAGCCATGAAATCCTAGTTCTGTATCACACACAAGTAGATTGTGATGATATAGTCCTTCAAAAGGCTTTCTTGAATATCTGGAAGTTCCAAATTTTAAGCATATATCTAGTTGAAGAATAAGTCAAAACCTTCAACCACTTGACTATTGACAAAATATAGAACCATAATGCCAAGAAATGTACTCTAACCAAGAATTAGGGAATTAATAAAGGAAGGCAGCTCACCTTTATTTGTGAGGAAAATACGCCATGCCATATAAGAGACCCAGTCACCGCTTCGCATCTAAAAAGTTTGTAGTAATTGGTTTTGTAGGATCACGATCAGTACATTATAAATTGGCCGACAAACATAATGCCGTAAAGAGAGACATCACCAATAATCTCCGCAGGAACAATAACCGTTCTGAAAGTGGTGGAAAAGGCTAACATCCCTGATGATGATTTCTCTATTGGTGATTTTGGATATGAGTTTAATGGCAATATGGCAATCCCTACAGATGCGTAGATTTTTGAAAATACGAATAACTTTTCCAGAGGTGCCCTGTATCAGTCCATATGCAAGGGCCAGCCTTTCACTGTGGTGAAAAAGCGATGCCTTTTTCTCCTCATCAGCTATCTTGTGGAGCACAAGGCTGTTGTTAGGAACATATCCTTCTAGAGCTAGTCGGTCCTTGAGTTCCTCTATCTTGCCATAGATTTGCACTGCCTGTGGATGCGAACCATCTTGAGACAAAAACACATGAACTTGACCATCAACTTCTATCCAACTACACCCAGGTTCCTTTTTCACTCCCCTCAAAATCATCATCTGCCTAACCCTAGCAACATCATCCCATCTTTGGGCAGATGCATAGATGTGGCATAATAGAACGTAAGTAGAGTCAGTACGTGGCTCTGACTCAAAGAGTTTCTTTGCAGCTTTCTCCGCTAGTTTAATGTTCCCATGTATTTTGCAAGCACCAAGAACCGTCCGCCATATCGAAGCATCGGGAGTAAGATCCATCTGATCGAGAAAGCTTTCAACCTCATCAAGATGGCCTGCTCGGCCAAGGACATCAACCATGCATGCGTGGTGCTCCATGGTAGGAGTGATTCCATAAGAACTTTCTAATGAATCAAAATGCATCCTCGCCTGTTTGATCAAGCCCACATGGCTGCAGGCTGAAAGAACTCCAATAAATGTCACCTCATCAGGTCTTACACCTTCATCTACCATACTTTGAAAGGCTTCAAGAGCCTTCACTCCATACCCATTTTGCGCATATCCACATATGATGGTGTTCCATGAGATCACATCTCTTGTATCCATGCCATCGAATAAGGTCTCTGCTTCCTCGATGCACCCACATTTCCCATACATGTCAACAAGTGCACTCATCACAAAAACATCGTTTAGATGCCCGCTCTTGACTACCCAAGAATGGATTTGGCAACCATTTCCCAAAGCTGCCATACTAGAACTTGCTCTTAGGGTGCTCGCATAGGTGAAACCATTAGCATGCACGCCTTCTCGTTGCATTTGGTGAAAGCATTCAAATGCCTTCTCCCCCTCCCCCCTCTGTGCATAACCCGAGATTAGCACAGTCCAGGAGAACACATCCCTCGCCAAGAGACCATCAAACACCCTCTGTGCCCTCTCCAGTTGCCCACATTTTGCATACATGTCAAGGAGAGAGTTTGCCACAAAAGGGTCCTCTTCGATGCCACTCTTGGCAACATAGGCATGAATTTGTTCTCCGCAATTTATGGTTTGAAGGTCGGTGCAAGACATCAGGACACTGATAAATGTGTACTTGTTGGGCCTAATCCTTTCTAATAGCATACAATTGAAGATCCTAAGGGCCTCCTCACAATTGTCCTCATTTTGATATCCTGAAAGAAGAGCATTCCATGAAACCACATTGCGACTGACCATTGCGGCAAAAACTTTGGAACCCTCTTCCACAATCCCAAACTTCATGTACATTGAAATCAACGCATTTCCTACTGAACAATCCATTAAGAACCCAACTTTTGCGATATAGCCATGTACGCACCGGCCATAGCACCATTCGCCCACATTTGTCACAGCACTAACAAGGCTAGCAAGAGTAAACTCATTCGGAACCATGCCAGCCCGTCTCATATCTCTAAACAGCATGGCTGCCTCTTGGCCATAGCCTTCTTGATCACAACATGCAATCATTGTACTCCAAGACACCACATCCTTCTCTCTCATCCTTGAAAACACCTTACAAGCTTCCTCAATCAATCCAAATTTCGCATACATGTCAAGAAGACTGTTTTTAGAAAACCTGTCAAGCTCACACCCGATTTTGATCATCACAGCATGGATTGCTCTCCCATCTCTCAACGAGCCCAAAATAGAGCAGCCCTTAAGCATGTTTGCCAAAGTAAAATTGCTAAATCTCATACCTTTTTCAATCATCTGATTAAACAATGACAGTGCCTCCTCAATGCATCCATTATGAATATACCCGGCTAGCAAAGCATTCCAAGAAATCATGTTATGCAAAGGCATGCCATGAAAAACTCTCTCTGCGCAATCCATGTCTCCACACTTTGCATACATATCGACAAGTGCGCAACCCACAAACAAATCAGAAAGAAACCCAGTTTTTAAAGCTTGCCCATGCATTTGCATGCCCAATCGAATGGCTGTGCACATAGCACAGGCCTTCAAACCAGTAGCGAGAGCGAACCCATTAAACTGAATTCCCGCTCTGACCATCTCCTGAAATAAAAACAAGCCCTTTTCACACTCTCCCTGAGCAATGTACCCAGCTATAAGGGAATTATATGAGACCACATCTCTCTGATACATTTCATCAAAAACTTTACGCGCACAATTGGGTTTCCTGCATTTTACATAAAGATTCACCAGAGAATTCAAAATGTGTGAATCTGGCTTGGTGTCACCCTTGATAACGTGGGCATGAACGGATTGGCCTTGCTTAAGAGAGAGATTCAGAGCACATGTCTGCAACATAGTAGAGTATCTCTTCAATATGTCGATATTGGGTAGAGGGAGCAGTATTGGAGCACACGTCCTGCCATTAGAGAGAGGCTCAGGGTTCAAGATTTCAGTGCCATTTAGAGAGATCAAGGGTGACGAGGGAGAAAGTAGAGTTGAGGCCATGAATGAATGCAGGTGTTTCGTGTCAAGTCCGAATGGAACTGGGACACACTTCCTGAGAGATCGTCAATAATCAAGTAAATGAATAATCATTGCAATAAAAATGTTTTGAACCCAAAACAATAAATTTGGACTTTTAGGAGGAAGGTATTTCGTGAACCAGGATCCAAATTTACAATATATCATGTAACTTTTCCATTTTTTGGAAAACAAAGTATACTCCTAATATAAATAAGAAAGCGTGTGGTTTGTATATAAGGCTGAGGGTCTAAACGATAAAAGTAAGGCACACCTTCAAATCGTGTCAAAACGATGTTGGTTTGGCACGGAAAATCTTTATGATGGCCTAAAAAGTTATTTTAATCTCTAATTATAAAATTTTAAGCTCTTAAAATTGTGTAGACCAAACAGATTTACGAACTCCTAAGAATCTTGAAAATGGTCTAGACAATACATTGCCTCTTCTAATGGCCCATTCCAAGCATATCCCCTGACCAACACATTCCATAAGAAGATGTTTCCTTTCGGGATTTTATCAAACAGTTTGCGGGCAAGAGGTAAAGAATCACAATAAATAGCACACAAATTCACTAGTCTTGTGGCCACAATGGGGTCATACCCAAAGCCCATATGGAGCAAGCGGGCATGGATCTGTTTACCTGGTTTAATAGCCTTTTGGTACGCACAGTTTTGGAGGAGCGACGAATAGAAGCCGCAAGAGTCCCGGTGAAGAGGACTAATGGTTGGTTTCGGTGAGAATTTGAGGAGCTACTGACTAAAATTTAAATTTGTGATTTGGTTTTGAAGAGGAGAGAGAACGAAAGGAATCGGACGAGAGGAGTAAGAGAAGCGAAAAACCGACGAGCAATTGAGGGGCTTAATGGGGGTAAGCTACAGGAAGAAGAGAAAGCAAAGTTCATGGCGAGAACAAAAACTTGGGGGCACTTAAAACAGGGTGAAGCATTGAAAAGAGGAGAGAGAATAGTCTTAGAGAGAGAGAGCAACAGAGAGCAGGGGAAGTTTTGGAGATGGGAGATCCTTAACGGATATGTTTTCTCTCGTTGTATGTAATACGATGTGGTTTGAAATTGGCGGGCGTTAAATGCAAAATAACGGCCAAAAATAATATCTGGGTGGATCCAACTACTATCAATCTCCATCTATCCAGTGATTGGACGGCGATGAAACTCAAAATCTCAATTTTTTTTTCTTGAAAATATTTGGTGACTATAACGTGATCCAAAAATTTCAAATCGAAAAAGAAGTCCCCGAATTAAGTTTGTTCATCAAGAGATTAAAGGCAAAGTGCACTTTGTTTATTCTGAATTACTTCAGGACATGTTAGGATCGTGGCGGTAGCACACCCTACTCACCACATTGTTGTTTTCATGCCCACTGAAAATACCACACTAACACTTCAAAAAAAAAGTAACTCTTAAACTATTTGAAAGAATAGTTAGGAGCACCAAAAAAAATTTTAAAAATAAAAAATAGAAAAATTTCCAAAATAAAAAAAATATTTTTGTAGTGAAGTAAAATTTAATGAAGCCCAACTAATTGTGGTTAAAAAAATAGCCAAAAAAAAGATTTTAAATAATGTTTTTGTGATTGAAAGTATTTTCAAAATTTCTAAAAAATGGAAAAATGAAAAAATAAGTATTTATCGCCAAATTATTTTCCAATCTTTGCCAGAATTATAAAAATATAAATAAACATGTTATAAATTTATTTTTTATTTTTTAAGATTTTTAATATTTTTTTTGAAAAATTGAAGATCCTTGAATTGAACTTCCAACTTGAAGATAACTCGAGCAAGGGCCCGAGCCCGAACAACTCGACGCTAGTTCCTTTTGTAACCCATTATTTAGAGCAAGTGAAAACATTGTTTCATTTAAAAGCTGTAAGCAGTTTTAGTGTTGCATGCTGTCATGTGAATAGTGGAGTAGACCAAGTTAGGTCATTTCTCACTCTTAAATAGGTGAAGTGGAGAAGAAGGGTCGCTATTCCTTGTTAGGTGGTTCATCCAAACGGGACCTCAAACAAGTCCATGAAACGCAAGACAAAATAATGAAGTAAACTAAATTTGAAATGATTTGAATTAAATTAGCCATGCCTTCAACGTGATAAGCCTTTAGAATAACATGTTTTCATTGCGATAAGTTTTTATTTCTTTTTCTCTTCTTTAAATACCTCTCATATGTTTTTCTTTCATGTAACCTCTATGAGAACAAATTCTAAAACTAAAAAAAAAAACCGTTAATAGGTAAAGTAGAAGGCTTAAGTAAGCTACATATGAGCAAATAGGGCAGTGGAAGAGACTAAAGAGGTATGTTAATTTTAATATTTTTCTATAAACGTTTTATTGTGATTATGTTGTGCATTTTTTTATTTTTGTTAACATTATATAATTTTTTATTTTTTATTGTGAGCATATGTAATTTCTTATTTGCTGTCATTTTGAAATTATTATTGTTTTTTATTCTTGTTCAAATGTATGTACGGGTTAGCCAGGCAAACCAAGGCTATATTTTTTTTAAGATCCTATTATATAGTAGTCTATGTTCCTAGTATAAATTATTTTATTATAGTTGGATTTATAATTATTTTGCTTTTGCTTAAATATGTAGTTGAATTCATATATAGCATCTTTATTTAATAAATTTGGTAAGAGTCTATTTGAGATTTTATGAATTTCATTAATTATTTTAGTAGCTATATTTATTTTCCAACAAGCATGCATTTTCTGGAAAGACGATTAGGGGAAAGAAAGGAGAGAGAAACTACACTCTAGATAAACAAAGTAATATTCAGGAAAGTGGGAGAAGTCAGGCTTAAATATGGAGAAGGGGAGAAATCAGCCTTAAAAAAAAAAAAAGAGAAACTAAATGAAGTAATATTTGGGAAAGTGAGAAAATTTAATAGCAGAGATTAAAAAGGAAAGAGAAATCGAATATCCACGAGAAAATGGAATCAAATTAGTACTCTTAAGAATTTGGGAAAATTACCAAAAAAAACCCCAAGAATAGGCTTTCTATGCAGCCTTTCTCCAACCAAACTTTTTTTTTTCCACTCTTTACCCCAAATTTAACTTTTCTAGCAAATACCTCTAAGTCAAAAAAGTATATATTTTTTATGAAAATGCCCATAGTACCGGACCGCCCCCATTGTGTGCCGAACCGCATGCCGAAAGTGCTGGACCGCCCCCATTTTGTGCCAGACCGCATGCCTAAAGTGTTAGACGGACCCTATATTATGCTGAACCGCATGCTTTTCAGAAACAAAGTGTCGGATCGCTCCCATTTTGTGTTAGACTGTATGTTTTCCAGAGGCTATTTTGGTCTTCATTTTACCTTTATTATGACTTGACTGTATGTGCTAAGAAAGTTAAATTTGGGGTAAAAAGTGATAACAAAGTTTGACTGGGGTAAGTTGCATAAAAAGTCTATTCGTGGGTTATTTGTAATTTTCCCTAAGAATTTACTATTCAATATATTTTATTTATTCAAAACATAAATTGAGCACAAAGCCTACCAAAGGGACCCACGGGTTGGTTCAGCTTATGAGAAAGTCCTTGAGCAAAGAGCTTAGTCAGGCCCTTAAGCAAAAGGCTTAGCCATAGCCAAAGAAGACATGAAGGTACGAGGTGAAATCAAGACCAGCCCTTCCCTATCACCTAGATTGGGCACAAAGCCCAACAAAGGCACCCATGGGTCATAGCAAATAAAGCTCTGGGTATAAGTTTAATAGAGGATTGAATGTTCAAAATTTGGTGTCAAAATAGTTTATAGAAAAAAATTAAAAATAAAATAGTGTAAAGACGTGACATTGTTATTAGGACCATTTTAACCCTCCATTATGGAGGGTTGGATAAAGGGAAGTATATAAGCTTTATACTCTAGGGGAAGCATAGAAAACTTGCCCATCAATTAGACACCGATATATTCAATATCCAGTTGCCATATCTGTAGTTGTCCTTTTGCCGTATATTTAGTTGTTATATCTGTTCACACTAGCTTCTCTAGCTTTAAATAGCCGATTTTTTGGGGCAAAATAAGAGTTACTCCAACAAAAAGATGGAATTGCTCCATTCTTGTACTAAAACACTGAAAAATTAAAGAATTGCATGGCACAAGGTTGTGCATCAAAGGTGAGGCTAAAGAGAGTACCTAGAGAATTCGTTGAGAGGGGAGCTGACGCACTATAAAATTTACCCGCAAAATAACCGTGTTTAAAATACAAATTCAATCGTCAAATCACAAGAAAAAGAACAAATTGGGGCGAATGAGTATTCCAACACAATCACAAACGCAAGATAGAAATTCAATCGTCAAATCACAAGAAACAAGAACAAACATGGGCGAATGAGTATTCCAACACAAATCACAAACTCAAGATAGAAATTCAATCATCAAATCACAAGAAAAACGAAAAAACAGGGACGAATGAGCAATCCAACACAAATCACAAGGTCAAGAGAAGAAACATCACGCCTCTCTCTCTCTACAAAAAAACACTCTTTTTATTAATCAAATTTCAATCCCCCATTTGTATTTTTTAGACTCAAAAGGACTTATCCAACCTCACGTGACCTTTATTAGAAATTATTTTCCATCATAAAAGTTAACCCTAATATATCTCCCAACTAAAAGCTAAAAATGATAACTAAAATAAATAAATTTAATTTTTAAATTATTTCTAACTAAAATACATAAATTTAATTTTAAATTATTTCTATCTACGTGATCTCTGGTTGCAACTTTCAACTCAACACAAAAAAATAACACGTACTTTAAAATAGGAAACAAAATATATTTTTTAAAACTTGATGATAAACATCTTGTACCCTAATTAATACACGACATAAACTTTCCTAAACGTGATAAACACCTTGTACCCCAATTAATACACGACATAAACTTTCCTAAACATGAACTCCAATCCCTTTTTACCAAAAACGATCTCATGTTTTATTTCCTTTTAAAATAAGACTCCAAATGAAAAGAGAATGACTCTAGAAAATAGACACCATAAAATAGAACTCAATCTTCCCGAGCTAACTTATAGAAAACAAATTTTGTCGACTAAATTAAAAAAACTCATACTAATTCTATCTCTAAAAAATAATTAACTCTAATAAAAATAAAATAAATAATATACCCAATCTCTAAAAATAAAATTAATAAAATTAAATTAATAAAATTAAATTAAAATTTTGTAACCACCAAGTTTTTATACGCATCAGGTTATTTTGTCACAAAGAGAGGATGAGGGAGAGGAGCTCACATGTTCAAAGAAAAACAGATTTCGGCGCTGCGTTACTTACATAATCATGTTGGTTGAATTCATAGTAATATTTCATATTGGTTTAATTCATAGGAATATGTTTTTCATGGTTATCATGTAAACAAAACTTATTTTGAATATATGTTTACATGGTTATCATGTAAACAAAACTTATTATCATGTACTCTTTCGGGAATTATGTCCATTGACTCTATTCGGTAAAACCTTAAAATTAATTTGAAATTTTATACATTTTTTGGTTAAAGATATTACAATTTTACATTTTTTCGGTAAAGATATTACAATTTTTAAAATATAATCATAACGTACAATTTTTGAAAAAATATAAAGTTATAATTTACAAATTCTTAATTCTACGAAAAAACTGGAGTTAGCCCACTAGCTCATATTAACATATGAGCCCAACGGCCCATATTGAATCTAAGCCGATCTAACGATCACGGATGTCTGGTAGTATTTGAATTTTATTTTTTCTTTTTCTAAAAATCCAGATCACTTAAAATTTTAGGTGTATGTTTATCAAAAATAGGTGAATCTTTGAAAAATATAAAAAAAATATTCTACATGAAATACATTGACCAAAATACCTCAAAAAAGTTTTGAAGGGTATTTTGGTCATTTTACTTTTTACGGATAATTTTTTAAATATTTTTATTAGGTGCGCCTTGATGATAAGAATAAACATCTAAAATTTCAAGTGATTTGAATTTATAAAAAATATAATAAAGTTCGACACTATCAGACATCTGTGATCGTCAGATCAGCCCAGATTCAATCTAGGCCGTTGGGCTCATATGTTCAT